TTGGTGCATATACATTTGAAAGAGTACACCGTTTCAAATACCTGGGAGTGATGGTAAATGACAGAAATGATAGAACAGATGAAATAAATGAACGCATCCTACTGGGTAATAAAACCTACTGGAACTACCAAAAATTCCTGAAAGAAAAACACATTAGTAAGAAAACCAAATTAAAAATTTACAAGACTGCAATCAGGCCAGTGATCACCTATGGTGCAGAGACGATGTGCCTAACACAAAAATATGAAATATATATATATATATATATATATATATATATATATATATATATATATATCCGGTTTTTTTATTCGTTACGCCCGTCCGGTAGGGATCTATGGAGGAGTATCACCGAGACGCAAGCCCTTATCTCTTGCCGTACTGCTCCACCATAGGCCGATCAGATCCCAGCATATTCTAGTCTAAGCCGCAGATTCATCTAGAATTTTAAACTGCTGCGTTAGACTTTTTGTTTTCTGTACACCGAGCTGGGGCTCGATCCCACATCCACTGAACCATTCGACAGTGAAGCGAATGAGAGGCTGCCGCACAGCCCGCTGAGCTATCTGACCGACGTCTATCTATTCAAAAAGATGAAATGAGGTTAGAAATCTTGGAGAGAAAGATAATTCGACGAATAATGGGGCCGGTGAGGATAAGTGTAGGCGAATTTAGAAGATTAACCAATGAAGAAATTAAAGAAGTCATCGAGGGTGAAGACATAATCAAGTTCGTTAAGACGCAAAGGCTCAGGTGGCTGGGGCACACAGAAAGAGCTAACCCAGACTCTACACTAAAGCGAATAACTGGATTGAGACCAACAACAAATAGACCAAAGGGGAGACCCAAAACAAGATGGGAGATCAAGTCCTAGGAGACATAAAGAAGCTGAGAATCTACAATTGGGAGGAGCGCTGTAAGGATCGGAAAGAATGGAGGAAAATTGTAGACAGGGCCAAGTCACACACGCTGCTATAATAATAAAAAAAAACAACAGTAGACTGATTCTCCGCAATAAATGAATCAGAGAGCCCAAAAGGGCGGCAAACACTCCGCCAGGAGTGAATAAGCCATGATGATGATGATATTTATTAAGTCAACGAATAGATACATACCTATAATAATTATGAGCTCTTTATAAATATGAGCTTATACAACATATGTATAAAATACATAATTCAATTTGGTATAACCAAAATACAAAAATCTACATAGTTATTTTACGAAAAATCAAGTAAAATAAAGAAAAAAGAAATACAACACTAGGTAGGTATATACGTCTAAATACTAAAATCGACTTTTCTTGACTTTTTAAGTGCAAATTCTCTAACTAGGTCGGTCACGTCAAAATTAAAACAAATATCTTTCTCTATACTTATTATAGCCAAATTTGTAATCCTGGATTGGCTCATGGTAGATCTTACGTAGTTTTTTATTAATTTAAGTTTTGAAAATTATCGCTCCCCATGAGCTACAGTGACTAGCATAGTTAAATATAAGCGCAACAAACAAATTAGGAAAAAAAACAAAAGAATTATTTTAAAAGTATAAAAAAGATGTACATTTTTGTTTTTTAAAAAAGTTTGTGGTTGTTTTTTTAAGAGATTCTACAGTCATTTTACATCGCGACATTTTTACACTTCAAAATCACTATCATTTCACTCATACATTTTTTGAAATTTTGATGATTACCCTCGTTCCGGGTGGCGGCACTATATTTTTGTTCAGTTTTAAGTACTAAAGAACAAAAAAAAAGTCCCTTAAACAGTGTGCCCTCAAATTTTAAAATCAATGTTTTTGGCATCAAAAAAGTGGATATTTTCTGTGGAATTCGACGTATAGGGTAAACCACCAAATTATTGGCACTAGCCCAATTATTGGCAGTGGACACTTTATTCTTAAATAATTAAGGAGTAATTCACTGTAAGTACTTACTTCCACTTTTATAATGATCTGGCAACATGTATTATTTATGGTAGGGCGTAGAATACTATAATCGTCAATATCCCGCCAACTATTCGAGAGTGAAGGTTAGCTGTTAAGTTATCCTTACATTTTACCTGATTTCAGTACGTAGTAGTAAGGCATCATCGGTGTTAGAGGTACGTTTATAATTGTAATATTAGCTGTGATAATTAGAATGGTTCTCCCTGATGAACTCTTCCAACTGGAAGGAGTTGGGAGAGGCCTATGTCCAAACATGGACGATAGAAGGATAAGAAGAAGAAGAGGAAGAACTAGAATGATATATCAGATTAATCTCTAGATTACATTGTACCGTTTTCTCGTTTTTATGCTTATTTTGGACAATTTGATGCCATATTATAGCAAATGTTAGTGATTAGCAGTGCTGCCAAAAATTAGGTAGCCGAGGTATTTATTTACATTTAGTGATTGGCACTTTTAACTTCAGGAAGAAAAAAATGCCTAAAGTTCAAAAGGAAAGCAAATATACAAAAAATATAATGAAGAAATTCTTCAAGAAGCTTTAGGAAAATAATTAATGGCATGCCAAAGGCGACGACAGCAGTTAAATATGGGATACCCAGAGCTACTCTCAATTTAGACTAAGCAAAAAATTTAAAATAGTAGCACATGGTCCAAATACTTTTTTTCTGGTCAGTCATTTTTGTATCAGAACCCCCGACCAAATCCATTTAAAAACTATCTTCCTGGGGATCATTAGTATAATCTAATCGTTTTTAAGAAGACACCCTAATTTAACAAATATAATTTCTAAAGCTGTAAACAATGCCAGTGGAAACGTGTTAGAAAATGATATCAGAAAGTGGTTTAATAATATACAAGAATATTTAATGGAAAAGAACTATTTTGATATTTTTTCTGATCCTACAGAAATTTACGACGGAGATGAAACTTATTTTACCCTTTTTCCGAAAGAAGATAGGGTTCTTGCACTAAAAGGTGCCAACAATGTTTATCAGATCGAGCAAGGCCCATCGAAAACAAATATTACCATCATGTTCACATTTTCTGCTGTGGGAGTTAGAACGCCACCCATGATCGTTAATGCTTATAAAAGATTACCCAAAAGCATCGCAGAAGGTGTTCCAGATGGGTGGGGAATTGCTACTAGTGAAAAAGGTTGGATGCAAACAAATGTTTTTCATAATTATATATCTAAGATATTATATCTTTATTTAGTAAAACATGTTACATTTCCAATTATAATGTTTGTAGACGGACACAAAACACATTTAACATACCAACTAAGTCAACTACGTACAGAACTCGAAATAATATTAGTGGCATTATATTCAAATGCGAATAGAATTCTTCAACCCGTCTGACGTCTATAGTTTCAAGCGCTTTAAAAATGCGTGGAAAAGAGCTTTGTTGAATTGGAAGAGACAAAATTAATTTGAACAAACAAGTAAGAGTAACTTTGCTCCAGTTTTAAAAATCGCGGTAGTTGTTTTAGAGTGTGTGGTATCTGTCCTTGGAATGCGGATAGTATTGACAACGGCAAATGCCTAGGTAAAAAATATACCGTAGGTAAATTTGGCGAAACCACGACAGAATCAGTCAATTTGACCGATTTTTGTAACATATGCGATGAAGATACTTTACAGCTCTTAAAAGAAGCCAGAAAAAATGACAACTCTGATAACATTAGCAAAATTTCAGGGTACTACTTAATCTATTTAACATTTTACATCCAAATAATCCAAATAATAAAGAAGGCGATAATTCACAAATTGTAATAGATGAAATGTTTTTGGAAGATATGTCTGTAGTAGAAGAGAGAGCAGCGATGATTTTAACTTACGATATAGAATATGTACCTGTTGTTCTTTTGGAAGAAGTTCCTGAACAAAATACAAAAGTGGCACAAAGTTTAGCACTTTACTCAGAAAATACTCAAGAAACAATCACAGGATCCGCTGCCATTTCAACTTTTGATTCAGTTCCCTCCACTAGTCAAAACTCGATAAATAAGAGCAGTAATATGGAAGATTGTTTTCCTTATGCCAAAACTCTCGAACGTAAGGGAATACGTAACACCCAAAGATCTAGTTTTGTAATTTCTTCTTCAGTTTATAAAATAGAACTAGAGGAAAAGGAACGCAAAAAAAATTAAAAGGAGCGAACAAAATTAGAAAATAAAGCAAAGCCTAATGTTTTAGAGGACTTAAAAGTAAACAAGCTTTTAAGTAAAGAAGATGATCGACAGCCCCATAAAAATATGGACATAGGTCAATTTAAAAAGCAAGTTAGAAATATGACAATATTAGGATTTGATCCAGAAGTTCCAGAACTCTGCTCAGCACTTAAAAATAATATTTATATGAATAAGGATATATGCTTTACATGTACTGGAAATTTTTCCCTGATTATGTTTGTAGTTAAATGCCAGAAGTATTCCAGAACATTTCACAAGGGATGTCTTGAAAAAGATGATTTATATAAAGATTTTTTTGTTTGTAAAACTTGTCTTAAACAACTTGTATAAAGAATATTGTTTTTATAAAATTTGTTTTTAAAAAATATATAAATAAATGACACTTTGCTTGTACATAAGTACTTATATTTTAGTTTTGTTTTCAATACTTCAATGCAAAATTATGCCAATTACTGGGTGCCAATGCTTGAGTACACTACTACATGTCAATAACTAGAATCGTTGATTGATAGAATATAACTGCCAATAATTATTAAATGTCTATATTGTCTAAAATAACCTATTTTTGCATTATTTTCCTCAATATTTATAATTAAATGACATTTAATTTCTGTTCAGTAATAATAGTAAATTATAAAAAAAATCGAAATATCCCCCTATGATGTTACCTACATTAGCAAATCTAATGTTTAAACAATTTTTTTCCTTAAATTGCCAATAACTGGGTGGTTATTGGCACTTTAAGATGGCACCTATTTATATAGATTCTAGATAAAAATAATTTCAAAGAACTAAAGACAATACTTATTAGTATTTAATAAGTTTTCATTAAAACTACATAAAAACTATATTTTACCTCTAATATGGGAATCACATAACTTGTGACGCTGCTGTGGATAGTTGATACTGCCATACCCACTAGTATTCCAACTGATGATCCACAAGAGAAAATAAGCATATAGGAAAAATGTCGTTGCAATGAAATGAAGGGACTTGATGCAAGCTGCACGCCTAGGCAAAAGGAAACCACCAACTTATGGCAGCATATTGCCCCTAAGAGTAATAATACCTAAAATAAGATAGAAAAGTTTAATATTCATGAAAGAAAGTCATTATAATTCAATTAACCCTTTCCAGTCAGATGATCCCATTTGGGATCATGGCAATGTTTTCTGCTTTAGTGGCAAAGGGAACTACTTATGTCAATTTGGCGAACGGTATTGCGTTGCCTCACCTTTCTACTAGATGACGCTGCCTTAATTTATTTGACAATTCTATCAGAGTCATAGATTAAATATATATAAGTAGAGATGATCAGAGTAAGCGTTAGTCATAGTTCAGTGTAAAACTTCGTAGTGAAACAACGATCATCAATTCACTGTAAATTTCAAATCATTCTAAGGTAAGTAATTGAACCAGTAGTTGCACGAAAAAAATGATTTTGCTTCTTACATCGTTTTTATTTGATAATTTGCATTATAGTTTGCTCATATTTAAAAGATTGTTTATGTAAACATTATAAATATCAATGAATCCAAATGAAATCATTAGACCATTGTGGAGGTCTCCAAATGGCATCATTGGGAAGTCGTGTGAATTTTGTTTCTGTCAATAAAATACAATAGTACAATATAATTTTTTATTTAAGATGGATCGTGTGTTTAAAACTACCAAAACCAAACTTTCTTTTCGGGAATTGCAAAATCTGTTCCAAGAAGAGGTAGTTGGTCTTCTTGACGACTCTGATATCAAATTTGATGTTGATAATGAGGAAGACTTTGGAAGAAAACATGATTAAAGAAACTCGAAAAGAAGAATTATTGGAAAATATTGTTGAAGATAGCTTGAACACCCAAGTTACAGAGAATATGGAAGAAAAAACTGTTGGAAAAATTACAGAAGAGCTACAGACAAGTCATGCCAAGAAAAAAAATGCACAGAAAAACCAACTTGGACAGACAACAATTTAATTGATGTAAATATCGAATACAGTGGTGATTGATGACAATTTTTATACGCCTTTTCAAAATTTAAAAAGTTTCGTGACAATGATATTATTCAAAATTTTGCTGAGCAGACAAACTTGTATTCTCTGCAAAAAAAACAGATACAACATATTGATACAAATGCAGCATAGATAGAGCAGTTCTTAGGTACACATGTATTGAGTGGAATTGTTCGTGTTTCTTCGTATAGAATGTATTGGGCAGAAGAAATACGATATAATACGATAGCTGATATTATGTAACGTAATAATTTTGATAAACTGCGAGCATATTTTCACGTCAACGATAATTTGAAACTCTCGTCTAGCAACAATGACACATTATATAAAGTAAAACCGTTCATTGAAAAAGTTCGGCAAAATATGAATGATAGAACCTGAGGAATTGAACAGCATCGATGAATTTATTATACCATTCAAAGGATATAGTAATCTAAAGCAATATATAAAAAATAAACCTCATAAATGGGACAGAAAAGTTTTTTCAAGAGAAGGACGCAGCGATTTTGAGATATATGTGGGAAAAAGAACACTCCAAGATGAATCAGGTCTTGGAAATAGTGGGGAAATAATACCGAAGTTGGTCAGAAATCTGTCAAACCACATGAATTTATTTTCACGGATAATTGGTTCACATAATCTTCTTATTAGTTTGAAAGAACGGGGCTTTTTTGTTACAGGGACTGTAAGAAGTGGGCGGCTGTCCGGTTGTCTTTTTTTAGAAGTTCTAATGGCAAAAGGTCGTGGATCCTCTGATGTAAAAATAGACAGCAAAAACAATATTACTGCTCTCAAATGGTATGACAATAGGTCCGTCATATTAGCAGCGAACTATATAGGAAAATATCCTCTTGATAACGTGAAGAGATGGTGATGATGGAGATGGAATGAAATGGAGCAAAACCTATGTAGAAATCGAACGGCCAGCAATGGCCACAGAATATAATATGTCGATGGGGGGTGGGGGTGTGGATTTGCATGGCATGCTTGTGGAACTATATAAAATCAAAATCAAACCAAACCAAAAAGATTCTATTTGAGAATAATATAATCTTATTGATACATGTATTGTCAACTCCTGGTTGCTGTACCGAAGGCACTGCAAGCAAAAACAAGTGAAATACATCACCCTTCTTCAATTCAAATCTCAAGTTGGACAGTGCAAGATGTTCCATTTGATGGCGTAGTGTGATGAGGTTGCAAAGAAGAAATCCAGTTTGAAGGCATGGAAGAGAGAAAGAGAACATCCCAACAGAGGAAGAAGTCATCAAAGCTATACAAAAATTGAAAGAAAACAAAGTTCCTGAAGAAGATGACATTACTTCCAAGTTTATAAAATATGGTTGCAAAAAATCTGACCTGTTATATAAGTAGGGTAGTAGAAATGATTTGGAAGTAGGTAAAACTTCTAGAAGACTGGAAAGTAGGTATAATTATACCTATTCACAAGAAATGAAATCAAACAATTTGTGATAACTTCAGAGGAATTACCCTCTTAAAAGTGACCTGCAAAATATTGGCCTACATTCTTTGCGATTGACTCTCGGGATATTGGGAAAACATAATAAGTAAATACCAGTGTGAGCTTCGCAAAGAAATATTAACTATCCATCAAATATTTCTTCTAAGTCAAGTATTGCAAAAAATATATGAGTATGGAGACTCACCATTTATTTGTGGATTTTAGGTGTATCTATGACAGTTAGCCAGAAACGCATTATACAAAGTCATGGTAGAATTCAATAACCTAATATACCTACTTTAGAAACATTAGTGAAAGCAACCGTCTCAACAATCTAGTGTAAGGTTAAAATACAAAACGGTATATCAAGAATTTTCCAGACACAAATAGGACTTCGACAAAAACAAAGTTTTATAGAATAGTGCCTTCTATACAAGCCTGCCCTAGAGAAAGCTATTAGAGAATCTAGAATAACAACAAAAGGAACCATAGGAGTGTACAAATACTAGCGTATACTGATAACATCGATATCATAGCGAGAAGAACGGCGGACCGTTCTTCTCGCTATGATATCTTCTCTCAGTCCAATCGTACATGTAATTGGAAGCCGGAGCAAAAAGAATTGGGCTACACGTTAATACTAGTAAAACTAAGTATATGAAGTTGCCAAATAATAATCAAGTGGCAAAATCCGAAGATCTAATGGTTGGAACATATATTTTCTAAGTGATAAGAGAGCAGGTACATATATCTAATAGTATCTCACAAATCAACCAAAGTAATATAGTAACTGCAGAAATTAACAAACGTATATATCTAGTAAATAAGGCATACTATGGATTAAAAAATTTTTTAACATCAAACAGTCACAAAAAGAAAAAAGTATGGATATACAGGACTCTTATCAAGTGTGTCCTTACCTATGCGTCAGAAACGTGTACAATGACAAAAAGCGATGAAGATCATTTAAACTATTTGTTCTGAACGTAAAATCCTTAGACATATTTATAAAGGCGTGTAGAAAAACGAATTATTGCGTAAGCGCTATAATTTTGAGCTTTACCACCTTTACCAATACCTAGTATTGTCTATCAAAATAAACAGCATATATAATCAAAGACCTGGGCCCTGATTCTATTTCATTTCGATGTCGAAATTTAAAAGTGACTACGCCATGACAGTCGCAATCGCTAGCGATTCTCATTCATTTCGATTTTAGTTAAAAGTGGGGACATTTACTTTATCATTTTGACACTGCTCAGAATTTGGGTTGGCCGTCTTGTTTATTAGCTGCACCCTTTTGCGATTTTTGTTTCTTGTTTGAGTTGTTAAATTTTTAGTGGCCAATCTCAATGATTATATTTTGAATTGAAAGAAAATGGATGGAGGCTGTTGGTGATGGTGGCACTAAATTGTCTGTGGACCAAAAAGAAATTATGATGGCTTTTGACTTAGTGGTTATATTATATTTTTAAATTTACTGCAGCTTAGTATTGGTATTACTAAAAACAATACATTACCGCTCTAAAAATTATTGATGAGTTTAAAGATTATTTTATATCTCCAAACAAGAGTGTAGAATTAAAATAAATTATTACAACCAAATTATTTATTATTTCTATCTTTCATTACAGCCTGTTGAATATATTCAAAAATTGTGGTTTCCAATTTAGTTTTAATATTGGGACATTTTATTTCTTTAATTTTTACACCACAGTATATTTTAAAAAATAATCAGTAGCATCTGACTTGGGGCCCCCAGGTACCGCAGTTTTATTTTTATAGGTGTTAAAATTTCGACCAATTATGTGCCGAATCACATACAATTTCTGATAAAACGCAGCCATATTAATACTTTTTGCCTCAGTTTTCCTTGCAACAATCAAACAAAACAACACCGCCTAAACTGAACCTAACCTCGCTTCTCCCAGTCCCGCTAGTCAGTCAGATTAATTTCGACTCGAAATTAAATTTCAACCACTTTCTTGAAGTTGAAATTAATTTCGATAAATCGAAATTTAGTGACGTCCTTTGGTTAGTTCAGCTGAAATCCACTAGGCTCGCAAAGTCGCATTTCGACGTCGCCATATTGATTTCAACATGTTTTCAGTCGAAATATCAATTAGAATCAGGGCCCTGATGGAGTGGGGAGAGGAGGCAGGCCAGAGAACGATTTATGGACCAAGTGGAAGACGATTTAAGAGTACGAAATTGGAAACCCAAGGCGAAGGATAGGAAGGAATAGAAGCTGATCCTAGAACAGGCCAAGACCTACTATGGATTGTAGAGTGTATGGTATGAACGTATAGGACGTAAGTTTTGAGAGAAATTTTACTTTAAATAATATACAACTTGAATTTGATATCAAATCAAGCAATATCAAATGATATTGCTTTTGGAAGAAGGGTGAAATTGTAAGAAAAGAAAGATACGGCATTATCATTTTTAAATTTAAAGATAAGCGCGATGTCCTGATGCTTACCACCATACTTAAACTGAATTTTATTGATGTTCCAGGTAGAATTGAGCTCAAAAAAAGCCGGAAGCTATTGTGGCTTATAATAATGCAAAAAGTTTCATTGATGTATCCGACCAATTGTCG